GCACTGTGCTTAGCAGTGCATCTGCTATCCCGCTTTTGTGGCAGCCATCATAGGCTGCCTCTGCTCCTTGTTGTGGCATAGAGATCAGGAATAATTGGTCTTCATAACTTAATATGAACTACCAACTTTTTCTTTTCTCTCAGCAAAATATGTTCTGAATATTAGCATTTTGGATTTGTAACAGAATAATATCTTAGGCTCTGCCAGTTGTAGTATAAATAATAGTCATGGATTATTTTTTTAAAAATAAAGTGGCAGTGAAGTCTTCATAGGGCAGAAGAAAAATACCATGTTATGCTTTTATTTTTCAATTGTTCATCTTTTTCCAGTAGGGTTTCCCTGCCAGACAAAAATCAATAGTAAAAAAAAAAATACCGAAAAAGCTCTACCAGTAGAAATGCAGCTTGAACAAACATTCTTATTCAGATCCATAATCTCCTATATTACTTTTAGGCTCAGAGTCACTTTAATATTGGCTGTTGGCTTGCCCACTCCACTCCCCACCCCTGTGAAATTATTCTTGTCCTGCTGCTCTTGCAGCGGTTGTATTTTTCAGCAGAAAATCAGCTTTGTTTGATATTTAATTACATTAATGTGGGGATGGGGTGGCTGCAATAATTTTGCTATGTTAAACATAAGTGCTGGCTCAAAAATACACGGTATCCCTAGGCCATGTTAACTATGGGACCATCTCCTTCCAATATGAACATTTTGTGTTTTTAGAATGATTCAGAGAAAGGAAAGCATTGGTGCTTCCCAAACTTTGGTGTCCTACTCATCCTTAATCTAAGAACAGCCCTATTAATTAATATGTTTAAAGACATGCTATGTATGGACACACAGCTTTAAAGCTATTGTTTTCAAAATATAAAAGACTGATTATCAAGACTGAATTTTTAATAAAGATTATGTGATACAGAATTAAATGACATTATCTGCAGAATTATTGTTGTCTTTCTTTTAAAGCTGGATAAAATATTGAATGCACAGGAACTTCAGAGTGAAAATAAGGGAAACAAAATTCACGATGAACATCTGTTTATTGTGACCCATCAAGGTAAATCCTGAATAATCCAGTTTATTTTATTATCTGGTGATTACAAATACATGTTTGCTTTTTTAATAAAAATGATTTTGTTCTATATACTATTTTAGTATAAATAAAAGCTGCTAATCGGCTTCAATTTCCATAACTATATCTTAGCTGAAAAGGCTGATGAATAACATTTGAATTGTCTTCAAATTTTGAACAATCCCTAGATTTCTTAAAACCAAAAAAGTTAAGATGTGTATAGGCAATCTTTCTAACTTATGCCAAAACTGCTAACTTTACAGAATGCAGAACATATATGCAATACATAAGAAAATGCAAATAAACTGAAGTTCATTAATTACTATTATTGATTCAGTAATATTCAATAAATGCAGGTATTTATTGTGCTTATTATCCAACTTTGTGATTTTAAAGCATGTACATGGATACAGATCTGATTCTGTNTTGCTTATACATAACAATGCATGAACAGTGTGATACCTGGATATCATACATTTTACTACACATAAACATAATATTATTACTCATAGTTATTACACTTCATTTTCATTTCATATTGTTTAAACATATCTAATACTACTGCCATTCAATTTCTAAACCTCCCTCTTATTATTGCATATATCTTGTGTATGTATATGTGTGTTTGTGTGTGTTCCCCTCTTATTTCTATTTCTATTCTAACTTTTATTCATATCATTGTTGTATTCAAAGATGTTTCTTTTCTGTCTTCCATATTTCACCTGCTTTATTATTCATATTTCCCTTATTTAACTCTTTACATATGTATATATATTAAAGTTTCATCCTTCATTCTTTCATTGTTCAGTGTTTTAATATACAATTCTAATATCAATCACAGTATAATTTAAACATATAAGGTAGATCTATCCATATTCCTTCCATTCATCCAATCCATGTAATTCTACTTCTAATACACATGCTTATATTAAAATATATTATTTCATTATCTAATTACTCATTAATTTTATTAATATTTATTATTTTTCATTTTATTATTTCATTGCTAGTCATTATATTATTAGAGTGTGTTAATAATACCATCATTCTCTAATTTTCCAATTAATGCTTAATTCTTATTCATAATTCCCATATTTCACTCTTTGTATTGAAATATTATCCCAATGCCTATCACAGTACATACAAAATAATTATCCAGTCTATATAATTCTAATGTTAATATACATGTTTTTGTTTAAATATATTCTTAAAAAATCTCCCCCTCCTTTTTTTTCTGTTTTTTCGTCTCTTGGCCTCAACAGTACCTTACTGTAAGTCTTATCCTTTTTAAAAAATCTTGCCTCAAATATTCTTCTCTAGGTCCTTAATTCTATCTACATCTGCATCCTGACTATTCAATCCAACTTTTTCTCTTCTCCCTACCCTTATCCACTGTCTAATTTTAAAACTAACTATTCTAACCCCTATCTCCTTTCCCAAAGTATCTCCCTGTTTCTCCCATTCTCTTTTTAGGTTTTCAAAATTATTTTCCTCCTGTTTAAATTCCTTGATCATTATTAGCTTTGATGGTATATTTTCTTTGTTGTCTTCTTTTTGCTGATTTCTCAGTTCTATTTTTTCCCCCATTACTTCTACTGGTTCCTTCTTTTCGTGAACATCCTGGTCTTTGCTCTTGTCCCTTGTGTACAATTTTCCAGTTTTTGTTCTACGTCATCAAATAATTCCATGATCATCTTGTGTTGTTTCTGTATCAAATACTTGATGCTTTGGA